AGAAAAATAAAAAATGATAGTCAGATGACTATAAACTATCAAAGACATGTCGGAATGGCAGGTTTCTTAATTGTATCAAGTTAAAAATAATATGAAAGTTTCATCATGCGTGTAAGTTTGGCCATGATAGATGATCATTTTGAGTTGTCTTTGCTGCTGCTGCTGCTTCTGCCACTGCTGCTACATAGATGGAGGGATGGATAAATAAATGAAAGAAAAAATGAACGCAGGGGCGGATTCATGGCAAGCCTTGGGCCCCTACTTATTTGTTACCCCAGAACCGCAACCTTTGTAAATTTTGACCCTAGATAAATGGATGAACGGGTAGTACACATTTTTTCAAATAGATTCATTTCATTAATTTTTCTCTCTAAAATTCTTGCAAAAATTTGGACAGATAACATATCTTAGCAATTTTAAAACGCTGCACTAGCTAGAGTCATAGTCCACATAACTCACACACACACACACACACACACACACACACACACACACACACACACACACACACACATAACTAACTCATCAAGAAAATTAATATAAAATAAGAACATGCTTAATTTCGAAGCGTTAACATTTTGTTAACCACACTGATATAATGTTTCTACGCTATAATTTCGCTTTAACATTGTTAATTTTTGCAATTTTTTTACGTAATCATCAAATATTTTCCTAAAAAATTCTCCTCAAATGATCAGTCACGTATTAGAACAAGCAGCAGTAGCATCTGTATTATTAGCAGCCGGCCATGAAGTTCACATTATTCTAGAATCGAAATTCGATCGAAATTTAGTTAAAAAGTTTAAAAATGAAAGTATCCATTTACAATTTTTTGAAGAGGATGTTGGCTTTTTAAGGTTTTCATCAAGTAAGTATATGAGCAACTGGGAGGAACTTTTGAGACAGTCTCTCTTGTTCTTTTATCAAATCGATCAGCACTTCAACTCCTTCCTACCTGCTTTTCCAAACCATGTCTCGGTTGCAGGTCTGACGTGTTCTCCGGCTTAACTACTGCCGAAAAGTATTTTGGATTTTATTAATGGGAGAGTTCATGGCGGAAAAGGTTAAATTTTAAATTAATTTAAATTTTTTAGTTTGTTAGATGTTACATGCCGAAATCAACAGTTGCAAAGTTTCTGAGGGCATTCGGCGCGCTTAACGAAACTGTCATCGCCAAACTATATATTGATGAAAATGACAACGAGGTATAAAAACTAATAACTAACTATTATAATAAAAATATAAATTCTCATTTCAATCACAGCTAAAATCCCAAATCCCGTCAAACGTCTTAACCCTGAACTGGCTGCCTCAAAATGATGTTCTAGGCCATCTTTCCACCAAACTCTTCATCACCCATTGTGGCAACAACGGACAGCATGAAGCTCTCTATCACGGCGTCCCGATGTTGGGATTCCCGCTCTTCGCCGAGCAGGATGTTAACTGTAGGAGAATGCACGTTTTGAATTTCGAAAGAACGATGAATATTTTTGAATTTTCAGATACTGAATTGTTAAGTTAGTACTAACTTTTTTTATTATGTTTAATTTATTATTTATTTATTTATTTTACTTTATTTTTTCAGAAAACATTTTAGAAATCTTAAAAAACCCCAAAATAAAAAAAACTCCATACAACGCATGTCGAACGCCTTTAAAGACCAACCAATGACAGCTCGGGGAAAAATTCTTTTCTGGATCGAGCACGTGATCAAACATGGCGGAGACCATTTAAGATCAGAGGCCATTGATTTACCATTATATCAATTCTTATGTCTCGATACTGTTGCCGATTTAGTTGTTTTTGTTGCTGCTGTTGGTTATGCTTTAATGAGGATATCTGCTTTAGCACTAAGACGAATTTAGAACTTTTGAACCAAAATATGTTACGAGGGTGTTAAAAAATGAAAATAGCAGATTCGTTGTCCATAATATTTGTGTCAAATGGTGTTTTTTCTCTCTCACAAATATTTCAATGTTTTAATTCTCTGTTGACGATGAACAGTAAGTAGTTAGATCATTTTTTCATATTACATTTTTTCGTATAATTTCATACTTCAGACAGACAATTGGAGTGCTACACTGAGTGCATAAATTAAAATTTATATCTCAATTGTTTTTTGATTTTATGAAAATGAAATAATGAAATGTATTGGTTGAAACGCTTTGAATAAAATAAAAATACATGCTTATACAGTGGTGGATCTAGAAAACTCGGAGGTGTCTCGTTTGTATGTTGAGACTAGGTTCAAATACAAACATTTCCCCGCATCTCTCATATGCGCTTGGGATATATATTTCACACTCACTTTGTTGAGCCACACACACACACACGCACACACACTACGCACACACACTCACACACAGACACACACACAAGCATTGTTTTATCTTCGGTTATAATTAGAAAATTCAAGTGCCAAATAAATTTTTTATTGTTTTCATAGGCACGGCTTATATTGTGTAGCTAGGACTTATGTATGTATGAACATAAGTCATAGTCAGTGTTACTAGTATGCACAACTTATAATCTATGCTATACAATGGTATTAGTAGTAATAATAACGCTTGTATTGATATTGGCATTATACCTACTACAATATAGAAGAACAAAGTCCATGATGCAGTCAAAACCTCATCAACAGCACCAACACACAATAAATAGCTCGACATCCTACATAATCACTCAATGTAATAACATTATTACAAATTTATCGTCGGGCTTGTAAATAAAGCGAGTTTGTTTGAATTTTTCATATTATTTAGTTTTATAAACATTAAAAAATATTGAAATAGCCAAGTTTCTAAACTGTAAAAAAGTGTTGAGATAGCTAATTTGGCAATGAATGTTAACGGCAGTTTAATGTTAACTGTATTGGTTGGATTGTGTCTGCTCGGTCCACACCACACAACTTCCTCGTATAAGATCCTACTCGTCAGCCACCAAATGCTCAGTCATGTCTTGGAGCAAGTTGCAGCTGGGAAAGTTTTACTAAAAGCCGGGCACGAAGTTCACCTCATTCTCGACTCCAGGTTTGATCCGAGTTTAGTTAAAAAGTTTCAAAATGATGGGTTTCGTCTGCATTTCTTCAAAGCGCCGACATCTTTTGTGACATTTTCATCCGAAGAGTATAAAAAGCATCTCGGAGATCAAATCTTTAATGCAAATGTCGACTTTTATACCCACCTGGCAATCGTGGGCGAGCAAGTGAACGAGGAGTGCGGTTACATGCTAGAAGACAAGAAATTTATCGATGAATTGAAAGATGTCGGGTTTGATTTAGCCATACCGGAACCGTTTGCAGTGATTATGTGCCCACTAATCATACCGAAGTACTTGAAAATTCCGTTCGTCAGTCTAACGAATTTGTATTTCGCTTTTCAAATTAGGTTAGTCATAATGAAGCTTTTTACTTTTGAAAAAAAAAAAATTTTTTTCTTTTGTTGCCTGCATCAGATCACCGGCCCTTCCGACCTACTACTTAAGACATTTCCAAACGGCAGACGACAAGAGAGAGATGTCTTTCTTCGTCAGATTCAAACAGTTGCTAGTGATAATCTTCTTCTCATCTAGACTATCTCCACTGAATCGCAACCTCACGCTCCTGCATAAATACGCTCCCGAGTTTGCAACGTGGGACGAGTTGTTGAGGGAGTCTCTGCTGTTTTTCTACGAAGTCGATCATCATTTCACCAACTTCTTGCCGGCATTCCCCAATCACATCTCCGTGGCCGGGCTGACTTGTTCGCCCGCCAAGCCACCTCCGGAAAATATTTTAAATTTTATCAATAGCAGAATTGTCAACGGAAAGGGTTAGACGGTTTTTTTTGTGACAATTCACATAATATTTAAATTAATTGAGGATAATTTTTCATATTTCAATAAAAACTTGTCAGACCCAGGAGTTATCGTAATGACGTTTGGTTCCTCAGCCGACTACATGCCAAGAGGGATCGTCAAGAAATTTTTTAATGTATTCTCACAACTCAATGAGACCATCATCGCCAAGTTTACTATTAAAAAAACGGATAAAGAGGTAACTAAAAATTAAAACTTTTGAAAAATTTTTTTTTAAATATTTATCAATTTCATTTTTGACAGCTGCTAGCTCTAGTACCACCAAACCTTTTAATCCTCAACTGGCTGCCCCAGAATGACCTCCTGGGCCACCCATCCACCAAACTTTTCATCACGCACTGCGGCAACAACGGACAGCATGAAGCTCTCTATCACGGCGTTCCGATGTTGGGATTCCCGCTCTTCGCCGAACAGCACATGAACGCAAGGAGGATGACAGTTAAGGGATTCGGTTTGGGGATGAACATTTTAACTTTCACCGAATCCGACTTATTACGTTAGTTAGTTTGGTTGGCGACTGTTTGCAAAGTGTTAACTTTTGTTTTTATTTAATCCATTTTTTTCATTTTCAGAAAATATTTTGGAAATAGAGCAGAACCCAAATTACAGAAGCTCAATTAAACTGGCATCAAAAGCATTCCGCGACCAGCCAATGACAGCCCAGGAAAGAATTCTCTTCTGGATTGAGCACGTGATCAAACATGGCGGTGCCCATCTGAGATCCGGGGCCATGGATCTGCCGCTCTATCAATTTTTATGTTTCGATACTGTGGGAACGCTGCTCTTAATAGTCATCGTTATAATCGTTGTTACACTCAAACTTTCAGTACATTGCGTGGAGAAGTTTATTCGCTGTTATAAAATTAGATTTTGTAAAAAGAAAGAGAAAGAGTTATAGGTGTACACATGAATGACCCATCAGTCAGATACAATGGGTTTGTTTGAAGCATGATAGTCTCGTGTGGGGATATTGAATAATGATTAATTTCATGAAGAATGAGTTATTCAAGGATAGTTCCCAACTGAGGGCTATGAACGAACAGGAAAGCAATGATTATATTGACTTTATTGTTATTTATTTTATTTATTTAGTATTATGAATACTTAATTATTTGTCTTTCTTCTTTATTTTAAATTAAAATAATATAATTTCCTGTGACATTTTTAACCGAAACGTTTTTCTCCGTAAAACTCTTTGGCTACAGAGAATAAAATCGAAAATTGATCTACCGCATTTAAATTATTAAAATATAATCAATTATATAAAATAATAAATAAATGATTAATTAAATTATTTATTTAATTTATATTTTTCTATACTCAATTTATTTAATGTTTTTTCAAAATTATCCATTAATGTGACAAAATAATGATATGACATTAAACATGCACGCTGCCTTTTTATGGCAACATCGCGAAAAGAACCAGATCTTTAAGGACATATAATAAACTATGCACCCTAAGTTGTGTTGTTGCAACACCTTATAAATCTTCGCGACGGAATAATTTTATGTTTAAGATTCAAATTTGTGGATTCTAAATAAAATTGACAATTTTATACGTTTTTTTAGAAAGAATCTTTACAATTTTAAAAGACTTTCATTATAAAACTTTCCTACTTAATCTAATACTCTTAATCAGAAATGATAAAAGCCAATAGTACTTTTTTATTCGTTCTTGTAGGAATTTGTTTTTTGGGCGATCGTCAGGTACATGCCTACAAAATTCTTCTAGTGAGTCCTCAGATAATCAGCCACGTGCTCGAACAAGCTTCCGTTGGGTCAGTTTTGTTGAAAGCTGGTCATGATGTCCACCTTGTTCTCGAATCGAAATTCGATCCTAATTTGGTGTCAAAATTTAAAAGCGGTGGACTTAAGTTGCATTTCTTTGAGGAGCCAGACGATTTTCTTAGATTTTCATCTGATGGACTGAAAAGATATCTCGGAAACATAATTTTCAACATCACATTCGATCTTTCCAAACACATTTCCTTTGTGAGCCAGCTTACAAATGATGAATGTGAATTTATGATGAGGGATGAACATTTTTTGAGAGAATTGAAGAAGGTCGGTTTTGATTTGGTTGTCGTCGAGCCGTTCGCTGTCATCATGTGCACGCTTATCTTGCCGAAGTATCTCAATGTTCCCTTCGTCAGCCTTGCTAATTCCTACTTCGCTTTCGACGTCAGGTCAATCAGAATGGGCGTAATTATTTGAAAATTAATTTTAACTTGGAGAAATTTGATTATAATTAAACTATTATTTTAAAAAAAGTTATTGTAGTATAATTTAATTATAATATTATTTTTTTTTTAATTTGCCAGATCTCCAGCTCTGCCGTCTTTCTCCTTTAGATACTTTCAAGCGGAAGACAACCAAAAAGAAATGTCTTTCTTCGTGCGGTTTAAGCAGCTTATGATCTTCTTGTTCTTTTCAAGCAGTCTGTCTCCACTGAACAGGAACCTAACCCTCCTCCACAAATACTCACCCGAGTACGATACCTGGGAGGACCTTCTGAGGGAATCCCTGCTGTTTTTCCACGAGGTTGATCATCACTTCGGAAACTTCCTACCCGTATTCCCAAATCATATTTCTACTGCCGGATTAACTGGAATTCCAGCTAAAAATCTTCCTGAAAATATTTTAAATTTTGTTAATGGCAGGATTGTTGACGGGAAAGGTTTGATTTTTTTTCAGTTTAGACAACTTTAATCATATTCAAGTAAATTACACGAAATTTTTTAATTAAAAAAATGATTTTTTTTTTGAAAATTTACAATAGAGCTTGGTTTAATTCTAATGACATTTGGTTCCAACGTGAATTACATGTCAAGATCAACTATGAAAAAGTTTTTGAACGCGTTTGGATTGCTCAATGAAACCGTTATCGCTAAATTTTCCATCGACAAAAAGGACCTGGAGGTTTTATTTGAATGAACATTCTGTAAAAACGTCGCGTATAAAGTGAACTACGGTTGAAAATGGCTAATTATCATTTGAACTATTCCGCAGTTGATTTCTAGCATTCCGCCGAACGTAATGGTTTTGAAATGGCTGCCCCAAAACGATATCCTGGGCCATCCCTCCACCAAACTCTTCATCACGCACTGTGGCAACAACGGACAGCATGAAGCTCTCTATCACGGCGTCCCGATGCTGGGGTTCCCACTCTTTGCTGAGCAGCACATGAACTGCAAGAGGATGACCGTTGGCGGATTCGGTTTATCACTGAATATTTTAAGTTTCACTGAAGACGAATTGTTACGTTAGTTCAGTTGTTCGTGATTTTTTGACTATTTTCTGGTAAATGATCAAGTTTTATTTAATCTTTTTTTCCAGAAACGATTTTAGATCTTTTGCAAAACCCCAAGTACGAAAACTCCATCCAGCACATGTCAGAGGCCTTCAGAGATCAGCCAATGACAGCCCAGGAAAGAATTGTCTTCTGGATCGAGCACGTGATCAAACATGGCGGCTCTCATTTGAGATCTAGTGCCATGGATCTGCCGCTCTATCAGTTTTTATGCCTCGATTCGGTTGGATGTCTTTTGATGATAATCATATCAACGCTTTTTTTTTTTGCTCAGCTGTTGATACTTTTGTGGAAGAAAGTTGCCAAACATTACAAAGTAAAATCAAGCAGAAATCAACTGAAAAAAAGATCATAGACGTTTAGAATGTTTAGCCAAACTCGAGTTCCCCGTTCATAGTAATGTCATTTTCATTTTGTGTATATTTTGATTTAAATCAATCAACTTAATATAAAATAACACACACATATATATACATATATATATATATATATATATATATATATATATATATATATATATATCTATGTATGTCTGTGTCTGTGTGAGATGTTTTATTCAATTGTAACAGTCGAAAAATTAATGAAAATCTGAAAAAAGCGTCAAGGAATCGGTAAAATACACGCGTTGTATGAAGAGGAAAATAATTTTTCGTATACTAAACTGGGATGAAAATCGAAGTTTTACAAAAATAAAAAGTTAAAATCAGTCACCATATCAGTTCTCTCTCTTTCTCTCTCTTTTTCTTTTCCTCTCCCTCCTATATTTTTTTTGTTTGTTATAATTTGATATATCATTGCGATGCATTTTTTGATTATCAGCCATCCAAAACCAAATGAAATGCAAAAAATTTACAACTGAAAAATAATAATCCAAATAACAACTTGAGACAGAAAAAGACAAAAACCAATCACTATAACCAACCATCCAACCAGCCAGTCAACCAGCCAACCAACCATCCAACCAGCCAACCATCCAACCAATCATCAAATCATCCATCCAACCAACCGACAACAATAAGTATTAAAATCACAATTTTTTCTCCCTAATTAAACAGCAGATCTTTGTAACAGGAGAGCAGCGGTACCAGACTCGTACTATAGTTTGTTGTCGTCCTGACCACAGTTTTTCTATCAGCTCTCTCAAAGTTCGACTTCACCATCTCGTAATATTCCCCGTCACTCAGTGTAACGCATCTCAGTTGCGGACATTTTAACCTTTTGAGAAAAAATATTTTCTACTGTTGGAAAAATCATTCAAAAATCATTTTCATTTACACGATAATTCACGCTGGTATCTTTATTTTATCTGTCTGTAAAAACATACAATTACTAATATAGTACCTGTGCTATCAGTATTAGCACAGCAGTACAGCCGTACAACTACAGTATATATACAATACAATTTAGCAAAAGCCACAGCAACCACAGTAGTCGAAAAAATTATTAGCAACAATCTATTACCTCAACTGGTCAATAAACTTGCTGCTGTTGTCAGAAGCCCGGATCGTATCGGGATCCCATTGGACCTCGAGTCTTTCCAGTTTGGAGCAGTGTTGGGATAGGGCGATGATGATCTGATCGATGTGGATCCTGGTTCCCATTCTTAAGAACCAACCATTTGGTGTGCCGCATACGATGATCCTGGTGGTGGTGATGGTGAGGATGACGAGAGTAACGATGGTAACGACATTTTTATCACTTTATTAATAATTATAAAAAAAAATAACAAAGCGCAAAAAAGTTTCTACTGCAAATGTTTTGCCATTCAATTAATCAAACAGCGAATCAATCAATCAATCAATCCACAAACTTCATTTTTTTCATAAGGGGTATGACATTGAGAAAAAATTGTTCGGCCAGTTTGGGCTTCCCTACGATCATGAGACCCTCAATTTGCCGACCCTTTCTCATTATAAATCTCGAAGGGGTAAATATTTATTCAATTTCTTCATCATTAATAAACTTTTAATTTCATATATTAGTGAGATAGTGAAATAAAAAGAGAGAGAGGGAGAAAGAGACTCGATAATATTAATTTGCGTCAACCACTACCTATGTATGGCGTTTTCAGATAAGTTAACTGTATGGCTAATGTCGATGGCACGAATGTGGTCTAATTTTCCAGCCTCTACCATTGTTTCCAAGATCTTAAGAAAATTAAAAAGAACTTGAGATACACACACACATACACAAACACAGAAGCAGATAAAGCATACACACATATATACATACTTGATCATCAAAGAATTCGCAATATCCCAATCCCAAAAACGTGAATCCGGGAATCCGGATCAACACGTCCATGAGACAATCATTCGATAATTCCGTTGATGTCAAATCGAGTTCTCTAATTTTTGAGACTTGCCATTCTACTGCCATCATGTGCTGGTCTTCAAGACCTACAAATATTATAATTTATAATTTCTTATAATTTTGGTTATAATTATGATCAATCTATCAACCAATCAAATAGCTAACTAAAATTTACCCTGATTATTCATATAATTATTAAAAAAATCACAACCAACCACAGTGCTGTAACAAAAGAGTCTTCAATTTTTTACACCTCTGAATCAAAGTTTTGAGAGCGCTGCCCTTCACCCTGAGACAAAAGTTCAAGGCCAGGGTATCTAGATGGATACAATTGGATGATAGCATCTCTATGTGGGTATCGTCTACAAAGCTGATGCCGTATAGGTTAATTACTTTTAGATTAGGAGTTTGGGCTTTTATCTTTCCGATGTTTATAACTTCGTATATTTCTTCTTGCTCTTCGTCTCCGAGTTCAAAGGTTCCTGTGCGTGTGTTTGTGTGTGTGCGTGTGTATGTGTGTGTGCATGTGTGTGTGTGTGTGTGTGTGTGTGTGTGTGTGTGTATGTGTGTGTGTGTGGGAGAGAGAGAGAGAGAGAGGAGTGTGAGAAGGTACGAGGCGTATTTGTGGAAGTTGGTAGTGTATTTATAAAAGTGGTTTTTGCGTGCTAGTGTTTTATTGAGGGATTTTTTTAAGTCACGTCCGTCGCTTCACTACCATGCCAGTCAATACGTTTGTAAACTAACCAATCAAATGTTGAATCAATCAATCAACCAACCAACCAATCAACCAACCTACCTACTCATCAATCAACCAACCAACCAAAGTACTCACCAACAAATCAACCAACCTACTCACCAATCAACCAACCAAGCATCCAACCTACTCATCAACCAACCAAGCATCCAACCTACTCACCAACCAACCAAGCATCCAACCTACTCACCAACCAACCAAGCATCCAACCTACTCACCAACCAACCAAGCATCCAACCTACTCACCAACCAACCAAGCATCCAACCTACTCACCAACCAACCAATCAGCCATGCAACCAGCCAACCAACCAATAAGATGCAAAACTTCAAGTGACGAGAGATGCTGGTAGACTTTTCTCATGAAGCCTTCCATAAAAATAACCTGAAATAAATAAATAATATTAAAAATAATTATGAAAACAACATTAATAATTCATTTAAGTAACGCTTTTTATAAACTGATGAAATAATTAAAACAAAAAAGTCAGACAGACAGACAGACAGATGAATGAATCAATCAATCAATTGATAAAAGAATAAAAACAAGAGAGTCGAATGAATGAATAAAACAGCACACGAAGGATTAGTTAAAAAAATGAATGAACGAATGGAAGTTTTTAAAGGAATGTAAACATCAGATAGAGAGATAGATAAACGAACGAAATAAATGAAAGAATAAAAACCTCTGATAAGCAGATGGTTAAAGTTCTAAGATTGCACGGAAAACTGTTCATATCGTTGAAATCGTGCAGTTGCATTGCATTTGAAAAGTCTAGCGTTAAGTATTTGAGGTTGTTGCATCTGAGTTTGAGTGATTGGTCGGTCGGTTGATTGGGAAGTTAGATAGATAGCAGAAAACAACAATTACATCAACAACACAACAACAACACAACAACAACATTACAAAACCCACTTGTTAGCCAACTCATGCAAGACAACAGGAGTTATAAAATCGGCCGAAAGTTCAATGTACCTCAGGGACGACCCTGACCTATAATTGATGACCGATATAACTGCATCCTGATTGGTCACATGCAGACCATTATATTCGGGTCTCAGCGACACGCGACTCCAGAGGCGGCTGTCGTAGGCCAGGGTTCGCCACTTCCGGCAGACAGTTGCAAATCGGCAGAGGTCTGCCAGACGGAGGTATTTGAAAATCTCGAGAATTATTTTGTCCGGGAGGTGGCCGATGTTTTTGGCGGGCTGTTTTTGTTGTTATTATTGTTTGTTGTTGTTGCTGTTTTTGTTATTATTGTTATTTGTTGTTGCTGCTGCTTTGTTGTTGATAGTGTTGTTGTTAGTTAGTATCCAATTTGGAAATTGTTAAATGAATCAATTTTTAAAAACGTCATAATTCAAACTTAGATTAAATAATCCTTCACGAAAAAAAATTTGAGTGTAGCAGTAGCAGTAGTAGCAGCAGCAGCAGTAGAAGCGGTAGTAGAAGTAGTAACTTTACTAACGGCGTGTGAGGACGTTGACTGCATGGATTCATTCGTCTGTTGTTGCTGGGTGCAGATAGTCATCGTAAAGTTCAACAATAATGCCCACGATTTTATATAAATCTCTTCTCTCTCTCTTTTGTTCTCTCACTTTTTCTCGTAATCTCTTTCTCTCTAATTTACTTCTTTATTATGTTTCTTTTCTTTCTTTCTGCAGTATATGGGCAGTGATTTTTTTCTAAAAAAAAAACATTTAAAAATCCTAATAATTATTTATTTCCTTCTCTCTTATTTTCTTCTCTCTTTCTCTCTCTTTATAATATGTCTTTTTTCGTATTTTCTATCTTTTCAATATTACATAAACAAATAAGATGCCTTTAAAAAGGGTTAATACCCAAAAAACGCTTTAAAAACCGAGAAAAGAGTATTTTGAATCATTCCCTATCTCTCTCTCTTGTATGAACATACATACATACATACACAGACACATACATACATACATACACACATACTTACATTTACCTACATAAATATACTTACATAGACAACGTGCTTGCATAAATAAAAAGATTAAGTTTATCTTTATTCAAACGATTAAACTGTTTACAAGAATACAAATTATTGTGTGTTTGTGAGTGTGTATGTGAGTGTATGCATGTATGTATGTGTTCAAGTATGTATGTATGTGTGTATGTATTTAAATAAATTTCCTATCTTTTATAGAACACCAAAAAAATCCATCGAATATTAACGCAACCTCTAGAGCCTATAAAAAATACAAACAAATAAATAATTCAATGTGTATATGTATGTATGTATGCAAGTATGTGTGTATGTAAGACCATATATGTATGTATGTGTGTATATGTATGCATGTATGTATGTAAGACCATATATGTATGTATGTGTGTGTGTATGTATGTATGTAAGACCATATATGCATGCATGTATGTGTATGTGTATGTATGTAAGACCATATATGTATGCATGTGTGTGTGTATGTATATATGTATTAGTATGTAAGATCATATATGTGTGTATGTGTGTGTGTATGTATGTATGTATGCATTTGTATGTACGAATAATATTAAGGTAATTTAGATGGAGATGATGGTGAAAGATTATTGTTAATGTAGTGCTAACAACGCTGAGTAATAGTGATAATAATAATTTTAATAACAACCATGGAATGAATGAATGATCGAACGAACAAAAAGATGAATGTACGGATGAAAGAACGAACGAACGAATGGATGGATAAATGCTTACTGTCTTGCAGTTAGTACAGGTTGTATGATGATAATATGAATAACAACAATAATAATAACAACAATAATATTAATAATAAATCGTCGTAATAATAAGTATTTAAGATTTTTGGTATTTACCATTAAGTAATACATTTATAGATTAGTATTGGACTAAGACTGTCAGAAATGTTGTATAAATAAGTATTATATATATTTAGATACATGTGTGTGTTTTGGTATGTGTGCTAGTGTGTGCGTGTGCCGATGTTACTTTAGCCACGGAAAGTTAAAATGTTCATTAAAATATGTAATCAAAGATCTATAAAGTAAAACCACTTCGCCCTTTGAAAAGCGCAACATGAATGAAAAAAAAACAACGAATAAAAAGATAACTAACTCGTCTGCAACGTAAAACATGCATCTTATTTGGCGCTAAATAAGCACCCTGCTGAATGATACAATTAGAAGGTCAATGAAACCAACAAAACACCTTTTTAATTTTATTTTCTTCAATTTTTTTTTTATAAAACTTCTGAAAATACGAAAAAGAAAGCACATCACACAACAAAAGAATACACACAGTCGTAATAATCATCTTCATCATGTCACGGTAGATGGTTCCAATTAATTTCCGGCTTATTCTGTTTCTTCAGCAGTTCGTTGCACATCTTAAAGTGGCCGCAGCCGAAAAAACCGCGATGGGCAGACAGGGGAGAAGGGTGGACCCCCTTGATTACGTGATGCCTGGTCTAGGGATGTGCGTTTGGAGAAGTAGATCGATTTATTATTTCCGTCGTTATTTTCGTTATCCATATCATTATTGTCATTCCCATTAATTTATTTATAACTGAAAGAAAGGAAGTATGAATGAATGAAAGAAATGAAATAAATAAATGACCTTATTAATTTTGTCGCCCTTCTTATGGGCGTAGGAGCCCCACAACATGAAAACCACCCCACTGAGGTTAAAGTTCAACCAGTTCATAACAGCATCAGTAAACAGTTCCCAACCTATCAGGATTATATATCAGATATCAAGTGTAAATATGAATGAGAAAGAGAAAAAGAAAGAGAGAAAGAGAGAGAGAAAGCGAAAGAGAGACAGAAAGAGAAAATGTTTGATCTCAAACCTGCATCTTTATGTGAATTAGCTTCATTTCTTCTTACAGTTAGAACAGAGTTTAAAAGTAAAACTCCTGAAAGTTACGTGATTGAAAATCAATAAGTCAATTAATCAGTCAAACAAATAATCAATCAATCAATCAATCAATCATTCATTCATTCATCGTTTCATTCCTTCAGTCAACCTTGTTCAGCCCAGCCCATAAGGTAGCCATGGCCAGGATGACGAAATGGTGGGCAAGACTGCTCCAACTCTTTGTACATGTTTTTCAAACTAGGTTATGGTTATAGTAGTTATTATAATAATTATCATAAAACATTATTATTATTATTAAATTATAACAATAATAAAATAATAATCATCATCATCAAACCTTGGTGGTATGTCAACCCCTTTTTGAACAGAAAAGCAGAGCCCGTGGGCCTGATTGGGCTGATGATACGGGTCCTGACCTACTATTACGACCTTGACCTTAATATTTTCATCGTCGTCGCCATCATCATAACCATCATCATCATAACCATCATCATCATCCCAATCGTCATCATCGTAATCATCATCACAACCATCACCATCGTCATCATTAACACAACCATCATCATCATCATCGTCGTCATCATCACTACTTCATGTATGGGCGTGACTTGAGTCCAGGAGAAAACTTGACTGACAGGTGGGTAGACTGTGTACTTGGCTCTCTCATCCCTCACAAACTTTGATAACTGTGGGAAAATAAAACCGAGACATTGTAATGTTTTCAAAAAAAGAAAGGTAAAGCAAGAGAGAGAGAGAGAGAGAGAGAGAGAGAGAGAGAGAGAGAGAGAGAGAGAGAGAGAGAGAAATAGAGAGAGAGAGAAATAGAGAGAGAGAGAAAAAAAGAAAGAGAGAGAAAGAAAGAGAGAGAAAGAGATAGAAGTTACCAATTTGTTACCTTCTCAAAATATGGTTTAGTAAATTCAGCTTCTAGTGCATAAAACCAGCTGGGGCCAATATTATTAACGAGACCAAAAGTTCTCATCGATGTCAATTTCATTTTGGCCGTCAATCTTTTCTGCTCTATGCTGGGAGATGATGAGAAAGAGGAAGATGATGCCGATGAGGAGAAGGATGATGATGCTTGTTGTGGTGGAAACTGAGGGGATTGCGATGAAGATGCTGATGATGATGGCAGTGTAATCTTATCACCATCTTCTCTCTGGTGATCTTTTACCAAGCCATTACCATCATTTACTACTATGTTCAAGAGGTTTTTGTTTTCAGATAGGGCGTTTTCTACTTTATTTTCAACATAATCACCATCTGATATCTTCTTGTCATCATGTTTTTTATCAGTCATCTCTTCATTTTTGAGGTTTTTGTCCGCCGGTGGTGGAGGTTGTTCAGATGAGTAATCAGATTGTTTCGATCTCTTCTTAAATGACAGCGTACTCTGGGGACAGACAACGTGAATAGTTATTTTATATTGAAATTTTAAAATGAATAAAAAATAAATATCCTTATTATAATTTTAATATTTAAGACCTTAAAATCACGACATCAGGCAATCATTAGAGATTAAGAAGTGTTCAATAAGTTGACTATTAAACTTTAAATTAAGTAATAAATAAAATTAATTTATTTAAATTAAATTTTAAATTTTAATTAATTAAATTAAAATTAAAACAATCACAAACTTGGACAAGTTTTCGTTTTTGGGCACTGGATAACAATTTACTCATCGTAAAACTGCCAGACACAGAATAATAATGGTCAACCAACCCAATGAAAATCACTAATTATGTGTTTAAAAAAGTGCAAAATTAGGCAGAAATGAATGAATAGTTAATAAGAATATCGACAAATAACTTGACTAGAATCATATCTTTTTTTACTTCGCGGTAAAAATTTTTTAAAAGTAAACTTAAGTTAATAATGAATATTTACTAGCTCCACTGGCGAAATTTATAAGAATACCTTCTCAAAATACCTTTTATTATAGATAATTGTTTAAAAAATAACAGACAAAACAAAAATTAATTAGTGTTTTACTCTCTCTCTTTCTCTTTCTTTTTTTTTTCTCTCTCTCTCTCTCTCTATTTATATATATATATATATATCCTATGCCACTTTTGATATTTAAAAAATTTTCACTAAATTTTCCATGTTTTTATATAACAAAAGCAAGATTTTTGTATATTCTAATTTAAAATGTTTTTTCATTTTTTAAAATTCAAATATTGGATTGACTGAACGAGTCAATTATTCATTGGTTCCTGTATTCTTCTACCCACACAAACATTTCAAAATAACTTTTGAAATATGTTCTGTATGCATATGCACACACATCGTCATCTTCTTCATCATCGTCCTCTTCTTCATCATCATCATCATCATCATCATCATCTATATCTATTAACATCAGCATTTCTATCTTAGTAATCAACCAAGTCATCGCCATAATTATCGCCATTCTAACCATTTCCGTTTCCGTTGCCATTAAAGCTATCATCATCATCATAATCATCATCAACATCAACACCATCAACAAAATAAAAAACATCAAGCCAAATTTTTATTTAAATATTCATCAGAGTGAACGAGTGAGCGAGCGAATGAAAAACGAGTCAGCCTGATAGGTTTGAAAAAAAATTACAAAAAAGTAGAAAAATGAAAATAAGAAAGTCACTAACAATACAGTAGTAGTAGTAGAAGTCGTAGTGTGGTATTATAGTAGTAGTAATAGTAGTAGTAGTAGCGGTTGTAAAAGTAGAAGTAATAAAATCAGTTATAGTAGTAGTAGTAATAGTAGCAGCAACAGCAGCTGCAGTAATAGCAATAGTAGTAGCATTAGTGGTATTAGTGGCAGTAGCATTAGTGAAAGTTTTGAAAAATAAAAACAATTTCCTTTCGACAAAAATGTACTTTCTTAATTAGTAAGAACAGAAAATGGCGATCAAAGTAAAAAAGAAACAAAAACAGTGACCAACAAAACAAAAACGAAAAAGACTATAAATAATTCAGGAAAAAAAATCTTTCAAAAATGTCTGTCTTTGTTTTCTAGAGTAAAAAAAATGTCTGCTGCTACCACCGCTAGCTACTATAATTGCCATAAAAATTATTTTTAAAATTGCAAAGAAGATTGATTATTATTATTATATTTATTATGATTATTAGTGTTATTATTAACGTCATCATCGTCGTCGTCACCATCATCATTTATCAGCATCTGAATCATCATTATTGTCATATTTAAATGATCATCGTCCAATTCATCGTCATTGTCCTCAACATCTAAACATCATCATCTTCATTTTTGTATAAGCTCGTTTCTATGCAACGTGTGTGTGTGTGTGTGTGTGTGTGTGTGTGTACGTGCGTACGCAAAAACAGAGCAGAATCGTAAAACAACGAAGCAGAAAATTATTAATAGATGATGACCAAGTCACAGGGTTGAAATTTATACGTGTACTGTACACATGTATGCATGCAAGTTTTGTACACATACTTGGATGCGTGTATGTGTCTTGTATATGTATACGTATGTATGTATGTACGTACCTATGTATAAATTATCTAGGTGAGATTTAACTCAGCTAAGTGCTGTTTATAAAACCAATCATCAATCAACCAACCAACTAATCAATCAGTTGCTGGTTATATAAACATAAATTAACTTTTAGTTTCTTAGTAAAGGTAAACAAGAGATCTTTAATGACAGTATGTTGTTTAGTTTCGTTTCTGAACAACGATTGTTGTTGAAAGTTCTGACAGGAAACTAACCGAAACAAACTTTTTCAGATTTATTAATAATTGAAATTTGCATATTTGCCAAAATTAAATTAAAGACTAATTCAGTTGAATTTTTAATTTTTGTGTTAAAAAAATAATGAGCGTGTTCATGGACAAAACTAAATGTCAAATCTGCGAGGATGTGGCCGCCGGATTTTACTGTGGAGCCTACGTCTGTGAAGCTTGCAAAGTTAGTTTCATCTTCGTCATTCTGGTAATGTTTAAATTACGTACACATCAGGTTTTTCTCTTTTTTCTTGTAATTTTTTACAAATCGAAAGTAAATTTTTTAGGCAATTTTTTGGCAAATCTTCCTAAAAAATTCATTAATTTCATATTAAACACTAATTTTGTGTCACTACAATTTTTCTAAAACTTATTGTGTAAAGGTTGAAAAATTTCATTCAAAAGTATCTAAATTTGTTTATTTTCTTTAAAATGAATCAGTATTTGTAGTTGAAAAGCATGTTGCTTATGTCATGAAGTGTGAAATTTCTTTATAAAATTACTTACTGATCACTAATTAAATTACTAATTTCACTGATTACTATTTTCTATTTACTAATCACTAATTACTATTTACCAAAACAGAAATTTTTTATTCGTTCGTTGAAATCTAAAATAAAGTGTGACTTCAATCCTTGTCCGTCCGAAGGTCAATGTACTGTTACCAAAAAAACTAGAACACAATGTCCACAGTGTCGATACAAAAAATGTCAGTCACTCAATATGTATGCCCCCGGTACGTGATTGGTTGGTTGGTTGGTTGGTTGGTTGGTTGGTTGGTTGGTTAGTTGGTTAGTTGGTTGGAAAGCTGGTTAAGTGGTTGGCTGATTGGTAGGATAAAAAACAATGAAGAAAAATTTAATGTTAGCAATCTGCACATTAACATTTAAATAACATCCTATCCTGTCAACAATATCAACAACAACAAAACAGGAAGTGCAAACGTTTCTCGAGACATCAATCACATCCCATGTCGAGTGTGTGGCTTGCCCTCGTCGGGGTACCATTTTGGGGCCATCACTTGTGAAAGTTGCAAGGTGAATTGCCAAACTAAATTGTCTAACTAAATTCAAATTGATTTATATGAGTATGCACTGCACAAACATACACTTTGTTTTTTTAACCATTGTTGCATTTTATTTTATTCATTCTTTTATTCATTTATGCAATGATTTATTTATTTTCATACATTCATTCTTTCATTTATCCATCCATCCATTTAATTTATTTGCATAGAGAATCTTTTTTTAAATTCATTGTGTTATAAAGCTTCGATGGATTGTGTTGTGTTCATTTATTCATTCGTTCGTTCATTCGTTCGTTCATTCATTCATTCATTCATTCATTCATTCATTCATTCATTCATTACACTATATATTTAATTTTGTATACATGGTCTACTTTTTGTTGCATTGAATTCTATTATGTTTTAAAGCTTGGTTAGATTGCATTGTGTTCTTTCATTCATTCATTCATTCATTCATTCATTCATTCATTCATTCATTCATTCATTCATTCATTCATTCATTTCTTTATTTATTTACTCATTCATTTTTTTGTTCATTTATACAGTCATTCATTCATTCATTCAAATTTTATTCATACACTGTCAACTTTTATTGCATTGCTTATTGTAACATTTTTGTATTCATTGGTTCGTGGCTTATTTGTTCTTTCGTTCTTTTGTTACCACTACCACAACCATTATTATTTATATTATTATTATTATTATTACTTTTATTATTATTACTATAATATGATAATATTTAATATTAAAACATTTTTCCTTTGTTTAATTTCTAGGGCTTCTTTAGAAGATGCCTGTTCAATAAAAGTTCATTTCAATTAAAATGCTTCAAAGATAATAATAATAATAATAATAATAATAATAATTATAATAATAATAATAATAATCGTAATAACAATAATAATAATAATAATATTAATACAAATAATAATAATAATAATAATAGTGGTAGTAATAGTAGTAGTAAGAGTAATCGTGAAGTTAAAATGGTCTGTGGTAGTAGTAGTAGTGGTGGTGGTAGTAGTAGTAGTAATAATAATAATAATAATAATAATAATAATAATAATAATGATGATGATGATGATAATAAATCTGATGTTGATACTTTGAAAAATGTAAATAATGTAGGTGACGACGACGATGCTAATTATAGTAATGATGATGATGATGATAATAATAATAATAATAAAAGTAATAAGAGTAATAATAACGATGTCGCCGGTGATGATGATGATGATGAAGACGTCAGAATGGGGCTATGCAAGGTGACCAGGATGGGTCGGAATGTCTGCAAAAAGTGCCGCTACATGAAATGCATCATAGTTGGGATGCACCACAACAGTAAGATGACGCTGTTGATGCTGCTTCATCTGCTGCTGCTGCTGATGATGATGATTGTGATGATGATGATTGTTAAGATGATGATTGTTAGGATAATGATGATGATGACTGTGAGAATGATGTTCCACCAAATGGTCGTTATTCTGTCTAATGTCAGATCAATAATTTAGCTACCTAAATATTTATTAATCATTTACTCAATGAATTATTTCTTTCATTCAATCGTTCATTTGTTCATTTTTTATTCTTTCATTCATTCAATCATTCATTCATTCATTCATTCAATCATTCGTTTATTCATTCAGAAATTCATTCCTTACTCATACATTCATTTAGGCATTCCTCACTCGTTCATTGTTTACTTATCCAATTTATCCAATCACTCGTTCACTCATTCATCTGTTCATTCATTCATTCATTCATTCATTCATTCATTCATTCATTCATTCATTCATTCATTCATTCATTCTTCCATTTATTCATTCATCCATTCATTCATTCATTCATTCACTCATTCACTCATTCATTCATTCATTCATCCACTCATTCAGAAAGTAAAATAGGCAGGCAATCTAACTTAACGAAGCACAACATAACGGTACAGCTGAATAAAATTAAATTCGCCAAGGGAATTCTCGTGTCACCCCAAGCCCTATCTCTGCCCACTATAGAGTCCATAAATAACTATCCGAAAATTCCAAAAATTGAAATCGAAACTAAGCTAAGTGAGAATAATTCTCAACTAACTGGGACCTTCCGACAAAACGAAAGTGAAACTAGTAGAGTTGTTGCTGCTGATAAGGTATTATCATTTGAGGGCGGTAATAATGATGATAGTTTCGGTTTTGGAAAATTCCGGAAGAAGGTCTTGGAGAACTTCCGGAGCATGCCAAAATTAGAAAAAGTTGTTTTCGATTACGACAATTATAATAGTAGTAATAGCATTGGAAGTGGTAGTAGTAATAGTAACTGCAGCAGTAGCGGTATTGGTAGTAGTAGTAGTGATGGTGGAGGTAGTAGTAGTAGTAGTAACAACAATAATAATAACAACAATAATAATATTAATAGTAGTAGTAGTTTTTCACTTCACAAAAATATGCTACTACCCAATGATGGAACCATTCGCCATAGGTCTAACCAGCAACAACAGCAGCTACAACAACAACTGCAGCATAAGCAGCCACCACATCGTCAGCAAAAATGTCATCAGCAGCTGCAAAAACAACATCAGAAGCGTGTCAAACATCAACACAAACAACAACAACAACAGCAGCAACAAAATGAAAAATGTCCGCAGAAACGAAAGTACTGGTTCATAGATTTCACTAAAAGCAACCAGAACAACAATAATAATAACAACAACCATAACAATAATAAAAATAATAATACTATTACTAACATCGCGAATAATTTCCAAGTTACTAACTTTAATAGTAATACCATTAGTGGGGCTAACTTTAAACCTAAAAAACCTTTCAAAGATGATGATGGTGATGATGATGACGGTGATGGTGATGATGATTTTGGGAGTGGTTATGATTATTATGCCTCTGAAATGATCTATGGTGGTGGTGGTGGTGGTGGTGGTGGTGGTGGTGGTGGTGGTGGTGGTGGTGGTGATGGCGGTGGTGATAAAGTTAGTGGCGTTGATGTTGCTGAATTCGGTAAATATTTTCGTTCGTCGTCGCTGTTGACGTCATCATCGTCGTTAGCTATGACGTCATTGTCGTTATCTTTAACGTCGACGTCATCATCATCTTTGTCGTCATTTCCTTCGGCGTTTCCGTCGTCATCATTATCATCATCACTGACGTCGCCTGCGAGTTATAGCTGGTGTGAAGTGGCTAATTCGAGGACGTTTTCCTCGGAAACAACCACATCATCGTTATCATCATCGTCGTCGTCGTTTTTGGCATCATCATCATCATCATTTCCGGTAACATCATCGTCGTCATCATCATCAATAAAATCGTCGTCATCAACAATACCATCATCATCACCACTGTCTTCGTCATCACTGACGTCATCGTCGTCGTCGTCGTCACATTTCTTGAACGTTCCTTTTGCAGAGGATCGGTATAGGAAGTACCTGCAACTTAGACAGCAGTACAGGTTGCTGTTGTTGCAGAGACAACATCGGGACTGCCAACATACTTGCCAGTGCCATCCGCAACAAGGCCAACCAAATCGATTGCAACAGCAACCCAGTCAGCGACAACTAAATCAACAAGTTCCGCAACAACAACTGCAACAACTTCAACAGTCGCATCTACAACATCAACAAAAACCGTCCAACCGGTGCTATAGTTTAGATAAAAACTTGCCTCCTCCACAACAACAACAGAAACAACAACAACATCAACAAAAACAACAACAACAACAATATTCACTTGAAAATATATCTCCACTGCAAAATTACCAACAGCAGTCGTTCATAAATATTAATGAGGATTTGAAATTCAAACTCGAGCCGTCCTACTGGCTGCCAGAAAAAATAGGCGGAGCTTATTGCTGTGAAATGGAATTTGATAGAGTTAAATCAGAGGTCCTAGATAACTACGGATTTTTGCTAAAAAACGACACTGCTACTACTACTGCTGCTGCTGCCACTATTACTACTTCAGCAGCTTCTACTATTAATACTTCTACTTTTATTAATACTATGTTTAATGCTACTGATATCTCTACTACTATTAATAGTAGTAGTAGTAGTAGTGGTGGTGGTAGTAGTGGTGGTATTAGAAGTAGTAGTAGTAGTGGTAGTAGTGATAGTAGTAGTAGTAGTAGTAGTAGTAACGTTTTGGCTTTTTTTAATACTTATAACAAGAAACATGATGTCGGCGATTTTGTATGTTATGATAATGATAATAACTGTAAAGATCTAAGCAACAACAACAACAATGACAACAACAATAACAACAACAACAACAATAATGACGTAATCATATACATTTCAATCAATAATAGTTGCATTGGCAACAACAACATCATCGTTTATAATACTACAGCTGGCGCCAGTAACCACAACAACAACAACAGCAACAACGACTACTACTACAACTGCAACATCAACAACGGTACTGGCGTCAACATCATTAACAACCAACACATCAACAATTTTAACGTAAACAACTACAGCTTTAATAATAATTGCAACAGTAACAACAATACTAATACTGGCAACAATAATGAAAACAATGATGACGTCAACACATTCACTAACTCTGACATCACAGCCAACAACATCAGCAGCAGCAACAACACAAACAACAACAATACTGATAATTTTAGCATTGATGACATCAACAATTTTTTTTCCAGCAACAACAACATCAACAGTTTCGTTGCCAACAGCAACAACATCAACAATTTTGTCGCCAACAACAACATCAACATTTTCGTTGCCAACAACAACAACGGTACAAACTCACAATCATCATTAGCGCTATTCGAACCTAATTATTATTCACAAAATTTTAAACCACGACCCCAGCCACCGTTCAGCGACCAATCTGAGCTCAGCTACAAGCTCATTAATAAACATTTAGTTACGGCTGATACTATAATCAGTAACATGGCTGGTCTCTTCAAATACGTTCAACCTTTCTTCAGCAGGGTAATATTAATTAATTAATTAACTAATTAATTAATTAGTTAATTATGCTACAAATAATTGTAGTAGTGGTAGTCGCTGGCAGTAGTTCCAGCGTTAGTTGTAGTAGTAGCAGCAGTAGTAGAAGTAGTATGAATGTTAGTTATAGTAGTACTAATAGTTGTAGCAGCAGTAGCAGTAATCTCTTTATAATACAGGAAGGCGTACCTATGATAAAGAAGAACTTCAGTTTGCTGAATCAATGGATCTCTCAGATCATGATGTTTGATAAGACCATAAGGACAATGTTGACGTTCTCTAAGAAGCTGATTGGTTGGTTGGCTGGTTGGTAGGCTGGTTGGTTGGTTGGTTATTACTTAGGGATTAAGTTTTTAATTTTTCAAATCGACCAACAAATTTATCAACCAAACATTCACTAAAGCGATCAGACAACTAGTCAATCAATCAATTAATCAATCAATCAATCAATCAATCGATCAATCAACTGAACAACTAAACAAACGTAGGCTTCAAGAGTTTCTCTCTAGACGATCAAGTAAGCCTAATGCAGAAGTGCGCTTTCCCTACAATAGCCTTCATAATGTCAACAAGATACGATAGCACCAAGAATGCTATTAACTGGTTTAACTTTGACGCTGACGAACAAGGGGTTTGTTTGTCTGTCTGTCTCTGTTTGTCTATCTGTCTGTCTGCTTGGTTGGCTGGTTGGTTGGTTATTTGGCTTGCTGGTTGATTGATTGAATAACTTTTAGATTAGTCAATCAATCGATGCTATTTTTTCTTCCATTCACAATCAATCAATCAATCAGTCAATCACATTTCTTCTTTCATTCACAATCAATCAATCAATCAATCACATTTCGTCTTCCATTCACAATCAGTCAATCAATCAATCAATCAGTCACTCACATTTCTTCTTTCATTCACATTCAATCAGTCAATGACATTTTTTCTTCTATTCACAATCAATCGGTCAGTCAATCAACCAATCATATTTCTCCTTCCTCCTTTCAGATCATCTTGGAGAACTTCCACATGTACAGATTCTTCTGCTGTACCCTGCACGAGATGGGCGAATTTATATCCAGGTATCATTATCATTTTCGTCGTCATCGTCGTCGTTATTATTATTATTATTATTATTATCATCACAATCATCACAATCATCATCACAATCATCATCACAATCATCATCATCACAACCACCACCATCATCATCACAACCAGATACTCATTGGATTACATAGAGATAACCTTTGTATGCGCTATCAATCTTTACAGTAAAGGTAATGATGATGAAGACGATGATGATGATGTAGGCTGCGATAATAAAGAAGAACATGATTAGTGATGATATTCCAATCGTTTCAATACGTTACCGTGATGATTTGATGATTGATGATGATGATGATGATTGATGATGATTGATGATGATGATGATAATAATAACAATAATAATAATAATAATCATCATCACCACCGTCATCATTTCCATGATTAGGAAACAAGCTGGAGTTGAAAGAGATGATGATGGAAGCACTGAGGCACTACATTATGAGTTTGTTCATTTATTTGTTTGTATATTTGTACATACCCACACACACACACGCACGCACACACACACACGCACGCAAATACACACGCACACATACACACACGTACATACACACTCACCAACGCAGAAAAACACGGAACCCAGACGAACAGACATGTCTACATTTTCAGCTGTCTACGATTTTTCACTGACATCTCGACTGCGCATGACCTAGCCGTCTGCAAGTTTCTCACAGACTCGAAGTACAACCAACTACCAATGCCAAAACTTTACCAAGAAATGTTTCTAGACGTCTGAGATTCTCCAGACGTCTCGAGTATGTCTGCAGTATGTCTGCAAGAGATCTGAAGTGCAACCAGCCACCAATGCCAAAGCTCAACCATGAACTGACTCTAGACGTCTAAGATGTAGACGTATGATTAGTTTAAGACGTATGATAATTGATTCTATCTGTCTGAAAAATGTCTGCTTTTGTCTGTGTGTATGTCTGTAAAGATATTTTACAGTACGCGAAAGTACAAACACAAACTACCTATTTAATATAACTAAACTGCACAAAGAACTATTTCTAGACGTCTGAAATATTCCAGACGTCTGAAAATTATTTGTGTATATTGTATTGTTGTGCGTGGGTATTTTTTTATAGTTGTTTTCTTTAATTTTGTTTTAAAAGAAACTTTTTTAAATTTCGATTTGGAGTCTTTGCTGAATGATGTATTAATCTTAATAATAATAATAATTAATAATAATAATAATGGCAGACACAACAACAATAATAATAATAATTTGTCTTCTAATGAGTTATTGCTATTTGCTTTTTTTGGTCACAATTGAAAACTATTCTTTAATTTTGGCGTGGTTTTAAAATTTACTTTTGTCGTTTTTGGCTGGGAATGAATGAATGAATGATAGATTGATTTAAACATTGATTTATTGATTGTTTGATTGGTTCAAATTGTTTATTTCTTCATTCCTTCAATCATCTATTTATTCATTCAATGAATTTTCAAATTGTAAATCTCGGAAAAAGCATGGCGTGCAATGTGTACATGCATACATATGCCACCACTAGTCCTGTATTTTAAATGAAGAAAATTATAATTTTTAAATTATTGTTATTATTGTTATTACAATTATTATTATATATATATGATATAACTTATTTTCTAATGTTGTTATCCAGTAATTATGGCTCGATCAGTGCTTTCATAATTTCATTCATTCATTCATTTATTCATTCATTCGATACATTTCATTCATTCATCCACGAATCTGACTTCTCTATCTATCCATCCGTCTCGAAACATGATATTTATGTAGCGCCTTTTTAAGTAATAAAAAAAACAAAGCGGGACAAAAAGATTATTGTTATAGCTCACGACAAACAATGTATTACGAATATATATGTTGAAAGGAGACCATATTTTGTACAGTATTTTATGAATTCTCAACGAATTGTTGGCATTAATCAATTTAATGTTTGTCTTTTCAACTTTCTAGTAAGGAAAACTGGAAAAACGAACTTTAAATTGATTAATGCCAACAATTGGTAGAATTCATACAATACTATATATCCATATATATATATATATATATATATATATATATATATATATATATATTTACAATATTCTATAAATTCTACCGAATGTTTGGCGTTAATATGTTTGTAGTTCGTTTTTTCGATTTTTCTCATTAAAGTTTTTTGGTGAACGTTTAGTTTATTAAAATTCAAAAATAAACTTATTTTTCGAATTCATGCTGCAAATAAG